GGCCCCCAGGCCAGCCCCCGCTCAGACGCCTCCTGGTGGGACGGGGACGTCACGGGATGGTTTTGGGTGAAGACGGTTTTCCGAGAAGGTGGGGCTGTGCCCGCGCCCTGGGCTCTGCGTCAAGGCAGTGACTGGTCATCGTGGCGCTGGCAGACCGGTTCTCCGTGGACGCTGGCGATGACCTGGCAATGACCCTTCCTAGACCGGAGATCTGAGCCCCCGAGGTTGCCCCGACCCCCGCGCCCCTCACATTGGAGCAGGGATAGAGGAGCCGGGCCTGGACTTGGGTGGAGGGCAGGTCGGCTCTGAGGAGGGTTGGCCTGGAGATCGCTGGCGCCGGCCGGGAGCTGGTGGGGACCCTCTGACTCCGACCCCTCCGCTGGGCTGCCCCTGCCCCTGCCTCTGCCTCTGCCTCTGCCAGGAATTAAACTCCCTGCTTCGCAGCCTCTGCGGAATGAATCAGGGCACCCCCAAACGGAGGCCTTGTGGTTCCTGCTTTCACAGATCCAAAGCAGTAACCCATCCCACCTGGTGAGCCCGAGTGTCCGAAGGAGGAGCAAACACCCTCTCCAGGTTCTGGGAGGACTGTCTACCTGGAGGGCTGAGCCCTGAGGTGGCTGTGATGGGGGGGGGGGGGCGGGGGCCAACCAGCTCCTGGAGGTGTTTGCAGAGGGAAGAGGAGTCCCTTCACCGGGAGAAGCTGGGACACTTCCCTAAGCCTCTCCCTCCTTCATTGCTAATGCACACCCCCCCACCAGGCCCCAGAGCCATTGGGGGGATGTGGGGGGCAGCCTGCCAGGTGGCATTCCTGGCCATAAGCCCCGGTGGAGCTGTGATTGCACCCCCAGTGATCATATGCTACTTGCTGGGAGCTGGGGTGCTGTTTGCCTGTGGCCTTAAAGACAGCCCCCACCCCCCATATGAGGTGGATTCTGACCCCTGATAGACAGGGGCCTCTCACAGCTGACAGGCTGACATGCGTTTCTGGGTGTTTCCAAGCAGTTAAGTAGGTGTGGGTTTGTTTTTTGTTTAAATTGATTTTGAGAGAGAGAGAGGAACATGAATTTGTTAGTCCACTTATTGATGCACTCATTGCTTGATTCTTATGTGCCCCGACCGGGGATTGAACCCACAGCCTTGGTGTATCTGGACAACACTCTAACCAACTGAGCTAAGTGGGTGGTTTTGAAGTCCATCGCCCATGCTCTTGGACAGGACAGGGCCCTGGTCCTAAAGGTGGACCACTGCCGGGGCAGAGCACTTACCTACGTCACACCTGGGCTGTCTGTCTCTCCTGCCTTGGGCTTGGCCTGAAACTCTTTTTTTGTAAACAAGAGGCCATCGTTTCCTCCTGGTGACTCAGGGTCTGCGCCCGCCCCGCTGGGGGGAGAGGGGTGTGGGCTCTGCTGCCACCACACCACTGACCCCATCGGGAAATTCCCGCATCCACTCGGAACCTGCTGTCTTTTCCACAAAGGTGCCCCCAGGTGTGGGGCTGTGACACTTACCAGCTCTTTTTTTTTTTTTTAAGGCAAAAGGCATTAACTTGGTTTAAGTACTCCAAGGTGAAACCAGTCTTCTCCTTCCCTAAGGCTGAGTAGAGCTTTATCACATCAGAAAACAGTTGCTTTGGGGGGTGGGGGGGGGGCGGGGGCTGGATAGATGTCACTTGCATGCCATGTGAATATTGCAACAAACCATCATCAGGGAACATTCAGGCACGGGTGTGTTTTTGCATAAATAGAAGTTTTTTCGGTTTGCTGCGGCGCTGGAAGCTTAGAGGTGGGCAGTGTGGCTCTCTTTCCTGGTAGGAACCAGACTGGCCAGGAGTCCTGTCCTTATTCAAAGAGCCAGCGGGCTGGCCGGGCTCGGCTCAGTGTTTGAGCGTCAACCTATGAAACAGGAGGTCACGGTTCGATTCCCGGTCAGGGCACATGCCCAGGTTTCGGGCTCCATCCCCAGTGTGGGGCGTGCAGGAGGCAGCCAGTCAATGAGTCTCTCTCATCGTTGATGTTTCTCTCTCTCCCTTTCTCTCTGAAATAAAAAATAAAAAAAAGCCAGCGGGTCCTGGGCTGAGAGACTAGTGGACTGTGCAGGTGTTTGTCCAAATGGGGTCTTGCATGCCACATGGGACTGACATGGGTGTGAGCTCTGTGTGGGGTGCCTAGTGGATGCCTGGAGCTCTGGGTGCTTAGGAAGCTGGGCAGAGCCCAGAGAGCCCGTGGTGGCCCAGACCCTCCGCTGTGGACCAGTGAGGACGTTAGTTTACGGGTGAAG